GCATAACTTCGCATAGCCCCAGCGAATACTTCTGTCCCTGCAGACCCATCTCCTCAAACGAAGACAGCAAAACAGAGAGAAGAAAACCCAGCTGACATTGAAACAGGACTCATGAGTAGGGATGAGATTCTGGGATGACTTTCTGACACTATAATGGAGAGAACAAAAGATCTAGATAAGAAAGTTAAAAACCAAGATCCTGACAACTGTGGAGTGGATATAAAAAGCAATTAGTCCAAATTAAAGCAAGTAGTAAGAGGACCCCCAAGAAAAATATCTGAGAGTAAGAATCAAATGGTTTTGGGGTAAGTGAAGGCTTCAGGAAGAACATCTATAGGAGTGTAACAGTGGAACTTACTCCAAACAATAGATAAAACCCGTGAGAATCTGGAAGCTATAGGAAGTAGAAGGGAAAAAAGTATATATTTCTTTTCCCAATGAAATGTGTGAAAAAACAATCAGAAAATCTCAACCAAAATTAAACTAAACTGAACATTGTGTTAAGAAAGCAAAGATTCAGATAAAGTGCATTAAACTGGGCCAGATTCTGAGCAATTAGCAGACAGTGAGAAAGGGAGCCGCTCAATCTGGAACATTCTCCCTCTGGTACCATATAGGTCATACACTGGAGCCCTGGAGGAGGAAGTAGGCTCTGAGAACATTACCAGGCTCACAGTGAACAATATTTTCATAGTCAACATATTGACTATCAATCTGTTGATTGTCAGTGTACTGACAAGCATGAAAGACCAATTAGGACTGAAAAACATATAGCTTATGCTTATCATTCATTAAGAAACCCATCATCACGTTCCTTTACTATGCAATATTTTAACGATATGGCATCACCTTGATTAAATTTTTGAAAAATAATATTAATCAGCTTAACAAGAAATGTGTGGAAACCATATAAGAAGAAATATTTGTTCAGAATCATGAATAAAAACTTAATAAATGGAAAGATAAACATTTCCATGAGACTGGAGAATAAGAATATCAATTTTTCTTAGACTAATGTGATCTAAACAAATAAAACAAGATGTTTCGAGGAATTAATATATAAAAATAAATGAAAGAATTCTGAAAACAAAAGTTTATGAGGAGCAGCTAGGAATCTTACCAGTTATTAAAATAAATGTACAATTGTTAGACAATTTGGAGATCAGATAGATTGAGGGAAAAGAATAGAAATTTAGAATTAGAGCTGAAATTATATGAGTATTCAGTACATAAGAAAGGGAGTATTTCAAATTAGTGAAAAGATAGATTTTTTTTTTCATTTATATTATGCTGAGTCAGGTGATCACCTATTTGAAAGAAAAAATAAGATTAATTCCTATCTCACTTCTTATACCAAAATAAATTCCAGATTTAGACTGATTTAAGTAGTGACTTCTGGTTCAGCATGTTAAACATAATAAAATAAGGAAACTAAAAATACTTCATAAAAGTACGGGTACATTTAAGTCTAATATTCCAATGAGAGAAGTTTTTTTGTTTTGTTTTTTACCTTAGATAAAAGAATAGCAAATTAGACCACATAGAAATTTAAAATTAATGTTTGCAGAAATACCGCAAATGGATAGAGGAAAAGACCTTAAACATATATGATAGATAAAAGTTTAGTTTTCTTAATTTATAAAGAGCTGGTGGATACCCATAAGGAGGGACAAGAGGTCCACAGGGTAGGAAATTGGCATTACATAACAACAGGTAGCTCAGAGAAAAGAGAGGACTTCCTCCAGCCCCCTTCTCCACCGTTTACATCATACTTGTTTTCATCATGACAGTCACTTGCCATCATTTTCCCCAAACAGTTCTTGCCTCACCCAAAAGGGATACATTTGTACATCTAACTTGCTCCTTGATAGCTTTACCATAGTTCTCTTATACACCATATTTTCCATTTTACCTTTTATTAGAGTTGGTCATTTTCATCTTATTCTATCACTTTTGATTATAAATTTCTTAGTAGAAGAAACCGTGTCTTCTTCATTTCAATGCCTGACACCTCAAGCCTCCAGAAACCGCTAACAATCCATGTTTAAATAAGTAAGCTAAGCAGACTCTTCAAGGGACACACATTCTGTGGACAATGTAAATGTACTTGAGTTACATCTCTATCATCGGGATTTAAATTTCTGGGTAAAATCTCAGCAGATAAAAATCTGCTGGATAAAATAGCAGCCTTCATGCAAAGCACAAATTCATTTTAAGCCTGTGATAGACGTATTTCATGGCGCTACTTTTCATTGGTTTATCCACGTAAGCAGCTAGAAAGACACACATTGTAACAAAGCGTTGCTCTCAAATATAATTCACAGCATCTTACAACATGCATTTTCAGGTGGCTAAGCTGTGCAGAAATGAGATTTTTTTTCTTCTTCTGAGACTCTGAAAAGAGTAGAAGATAACCCCAGTGTTCTTGCCCACATTGCTTATCTGCCAGCAACAGGTTACAATCCCATAGCTCCACGTTCCCGAGCATTTACTGAATGCATAATAGCTGAGTATTCATGAAAGCTAATGTAGTGGATGAAAACAAATTAATTTGGTTAGTGCCCAAGGCAGTTGAAAGGTACATCTGCATTTTTTGGTCTCTAGGTACTAAGAATAGATGTTGGATTTAATCACAAGCTTGCCTGTCATTTTGGGGTAAAGAAATCCATGTTGGGGGTGCCTGGGTGGCTCAGTTGGTTAAGCGATTGCCTTCGGCTCGGGTCATGATCCTGGAGTCCCGGGATCGAGTCCCGCATCGGGCTACCTGCTCAGCAGGGAGTCTGCTTCTCCCTCTCCCGCTCCCCCCTCTTGTGCTCTTTCTCTCTCTCACTCTCTCTCTCAAATAAATAAAATCTTTAAAAAAAAAAAAATCCATGTTGGGTAAAATTCCCTTTATACTGGTGGGTGTTTTGATCTTCCCCTATTGCTGGTGAGTCTTTAGGATGCACACACTCTTTCACACTGGTGACATCTTCGTTGAAGAAAATACAGCAGTCTGATATTTTTATATGAATCGTCTTTGGAACCTGTGTTCCTTGTCTCTGTACGTAATAAATATTCGACAGAAAAAAAAACCAGGGAAAAAAATAATTGCCCTTGATGATGTGTTGGCATACTTATGAAGTTAAATGACGTGTTGCAAAATCTTCTGAAGCATTTTTAGGATGAGTTAGAGCTAATATTCTCTTAGGCGCCCTGGCAGGGTAAGTATTATATTGTCCTTGACAATGCTGATATCAAGCATCGATAACAGCATACTTCGTACTTTCGCGAACAAGACACATTGTAGGGTAATGAGATTATAGAAAAATTAACTCAAGGAGATGTTAAGTGTTTCACACACGGACAAAGAATAAGTGGAAAAACTTATCTTCTGGTACAAGAATCATTTAACAATTAATTGCTCCTTTGTTCAAATGGGTCCACTATGTGCTAGGCATTTAATGTCATACTTCTAAAACAGTTCATGTAAGTGTCCCTAGCAAAGCAAACTGCTAAGAGAGCTTACTCTGTGGGGTACAGCTTGGAAAGTAGTGGATTCAAGACCTCACTGAACACAGAATGTATTACTGGGAAAGGACTTACTTTGGAGTCATAATGACTCAGTGTTACTTGTTAGTGTCACACATGAGTAGGGTGACTTTGGGCTAATCACCAATCATTCTTAAGCCTCATTTTCCTTATCTTCAAAAAGAAAGAGTCAGAGTAGATTATCTGTAGTGGCCACTTTGTCTCTAAGATCCTATCAATGTAACAGGGCTTTTATCTTGGGCTCTGTCCATCTTTGTATTATCCTGGAATCTGAGAGTCCAATTTACAACTTCATTGTACTAAAGCCTATAAAGACATTTTTAAAGAGTCACTAGATTCCAATTTTCACTTTCCCCAGACATCATCATTATCATAAATCCTCATTAGGAAACATTTATTGACACTAATGTATAAAAGACACATGAGTCAGGGCTATACATATAACCCTATATTTAATAAGAAAAACTTGTCAGAATGGAACTAACCAAAGATCTTGGCAGAGAAAGTATGAGTCTTGTAGCTTGGCTGGATTCTGTTGGAATGCTCTATTTTAATTAATTAATTAGTTTATTTATTTAGGTCTTGGCCTCTTTCATGGTCTTGATTCTGTGCCTTGAAAATAAAACAAAAAATAATCATGAAAAGTGTGTTTGTCTTTATTAAGTTACTCTCTATGGCAGTATCATTTAGAAATATTTGTTTCTTGGGGCACCTGGGTGGTTCTTTTGGTTAAGCCTCTGACTCTTGATTTTGGCTCAGGTCATGATCTCAGGGTCATGAGATCAAGCCCTGTCAAGCTCTACACTGAGTGTAGAGCTTGCTTGAGATTCTCTCTCCCTCTCCCACTACCCACCCCCTCTCTATTAGAAAGAAAGAGAGATGAGAGAAGAAAGAAAGAAAGAAAGAAAGAAAGAAAGAAAGAAAGAAAGAAAGAAAGAAAGAAAAATATTTCGTTCTTATAGAGTCTCATGTTTTTAATATAACTGAAATAATTTGATAGATGAATACTATAAAAGTAAAATTTAAGTCTATTATTCTCATATGCCTTTAGACAATCAATTGCAATTTGCTATAAAAATAAGTTGCACTTGGCAGCAAAATAAAAATATAGTTATCTGTTGGAAATGTTAAATCTTAGCTTGCTTAGAGAATAGAAAAAAAAAGAAAGTCAAATAACAAGAGGTCCTGATTTTTTCTTCAATTTACTCAATAGTATTTACCCACCCACAAGGCTAATTTTAATTCAGGGTGATTATTTTAGTTTTCCACACTGAAAAGTTAGGTATTAGGCTTTTAGGATTTTTAGTTCTCAGCTCTTTCCCATCTGTTGCATTAAGGCTGTTCTTCCTCAGATCAATCAGATAAAAATCAATAATGTTGACACCAGAGTCCTCCAACACCACATACTAATTTTAAAATGCATGTGCGCCTGAGCAGGTGTTTAACACCTCCGTTGTCTTCCTCTGCAGGCATTTATGTCCATGTTCCAGATCCTCACCCAGGAAGGATGGGTAGACGTGATGGACCAAACCCTGAATGCTGTGGGCCACATGTGGGCACCTGTGGTGGCCATCTATTTTATTCTGTACCATCTCTTTGCCACTCTGGTGAGTTTAGCATTTCTTTTCAATTCTGTCTTAGAACCATAGTGGGATGAGCATCAACCGGTTTCTGTGGCCTAGTTTCCATTTCAGAACAAGAGCCAGAGAACCCATGTAAATAGTCCGACCAGATGAGGTCCCTTCCAGTCTCAATTCCTATGAATCGAGCTCCTTGAGGAACTAGATTTCAGATCTGAGTAAGGCGTCTCCATCAGATACAAGTGTCCACATGAGGGAAAACAATACGAGACAAAACAGAAATCCCGCATTTGCGTACCTGTTTCACCATCTCTAAGCATTCCCGCTCTAGATAATCTAAGGATCAAGCCAGACTACATTATTATGATTGCTGCCGTTATTATTATTTATCATGTAGAGACAAGATCTTCAGTGTCACCACTCTCTTTTCCAAGCTGAGACTAAACTGAAGACAAGGTGAAGATCTCGGGGTACAGTGAGAAGTCAGCTCAGTGTTTTGGGGCTTTGATGGAAAGAAATGCAGGGGAGAACATTAAAACTCAGAGCTACAAATAAATTGTAAAAAGCATCATGAAAATTAAATACCAAAACCCAGGAAAAATTGACTTCTGTCACACAGCAGATTTTTTTCTTTTCAATGCATTTCTATTAAACAGAAAGAAAAAAATTGTGAAGTGTGGCCTTAACATACGAAGGGATGTAATCCTCAGGTCTTTTAATGGCAAAAGTACGTCTCCTTACAATAAAAGTGTGTGTAGTTAAGAAGCCAACTTAAGCTCTATTATGTTAAAAGTTCCAAGGTAAGAACCCAAAATGTTATCCTTTATCAGAAACACATGAAATTAAAAAAAAAACAAAACTGCTGTTGTTTATTGAAAAGCAAAATGTTTTATAATTTTTTTCCTAGTATTTGGAACAACCAAGGTAGGTAATGCTCCCGCGTTACAGATGATGAAACTGAGGCTCAGAGGAGTTAAGAAATTTGCCCAATGCCACGTAGGGTGTAAATGCTGGAGCCAGAATGTTCCCATGTCTTCCTGGACTCACAGCCTGTCATTCAGCTATGTCACTGTTTCCTTAGATTGTAATGTTTCCCACTATACCTGAAAATGTCTTCATGGAGTCAAACCTCTGCCCAAGAGTCACTAAAATAAAACAGATTACAAGTGAGTGCTAAGGTCCCTTCCAATTCTAAATATGAACCATATAAGTGCTTCAGAAACTAGATGTGTTAGAGGTTGTATTTGCTATAGGCCGAGCCTTTCTTTCAAAACCGAGACACATCCGTCAAGCAGTGTATGGGGATGCATCGTATGTGGTCTAAAGTTTTAGGTTCAAGCGGTAGAATCACATGGAAGTAGTTTTGGCATTTTTTTACATGGGGTGACTTTTAAAATATGCACAAAAGGAAAGAACATTCAGCAGGGGGAAAGGAGACCCGGCTTCCAGAGTGAAATCTGCCCGCGCTGCGTGACACGTGGCCCTGAGCACTTTGCATCCTCCCTTCCAGGACCTTTAAGTCTCTGTCATTCATTCATTCATTCATTTACTCATTCATTCCCTCATTTGTGAATTCAGCTGTTTATTAAGCATCTACTATGTTTAAGTTCCCTTAAAACTATGGAATAGCTTGGAGACTATTGATCCTGGGTTCAAGGTAGGAGAGATATGATTGAAATCATCCATGTATGGTAATAATCTATCTAATTGTTTTTCTATTAAAACAGTATACTTGTTTGCTGTCCTCATGGCAGATTTTTCACATAGATTTAATCCTTTAGTGAGAGTCTCACACTATACGAAAGCAAGAAGAAAACTGATTCAGCCTAATAAACTGTTTACCAAAGTAATTTTTTTTTTTCAAGTGAACTTCTACAGAGATCACTAATATGATGAAATAAAATGTTAAATCTGGTACATTGACTTCTTGGGCAGTCTCATTTTTCCTTATGGGGCAAAACCATGGCACTGACTGTGGAACATGGAAGCATTTACAAGGACTCCCAAGGGCTCACCTGCACTCCTAGGAATCCACAGAGCACATCTGGAAAACCCATATGTAGTTCTGCCTTTTCATTCTACTGAGTCAAGTATCTGCCCAAACCATTTATTGTAATTTTTCATGATCATGATTTTCAAAACGTGATTCTATATTAAAACTATAAATTGAAATAATTTCTTCTTTTATTCATAATCTTTTCCAAATCTGGAAAGCAACGAGGGCACTTTGGGAAATAAGGTGGAGTATAGCTGTGGAGTTCAAAGTCTAGATTCAGGTTCTAGCTCTGTGGGTCGCAAGATGGGTGACTTTAGAAGAATCCAACAACTTCCCTAACCTCTTTGTCATGTATCTGAAAATGAGGATAATGATGCCCCACATACCTACTTTCCACAATTGCCATCTCCATGTGAGCTGTATTTTTGAGGATGTTTTAGCCGTAGAATGTGAGGAAGATCACAGCTATCCCCAACACTGAGTTTAAATAAGATGGAGTGTGCCTTTAAGGGTATACATTAATAAGTGCTAAAAAATTATTATATTAGTTCAGATGCTTTTAATTTGTAGAAGTATTATTGATCAAAGTGTCATTGATGCCCCTTCCTGGACCGAGTCCTTCTCTACCTTAATCTTTCCTTCTTTCCCCACACCTCTTCTCCCAGACAACGACTAGGATGCATTTGGTCTGAATCTATCTTCCAGTTTTAAATCATATTTTACTGAATTTAACATGCTGTCAACTATAGGAAGACTTATTTTGTTTAATAATAACAAAAAGCAACCATTAAATCATACACATAGATGATAAGGTGCACTCCAGTTTCGGAGTTGTTAAAATGTGAAAATAAATGAGTGTCTTAAAATCAATGAAGTGCAGTAGTCTCCCACATATATATGTGTCCATCAAAAACATACAGTGCTTTAAATTTAAGGTTATAATCTACATTTTATACCATTAGTTTGTAAGATTTATATTAATTTTGTAGTTTGAGAACTCTGCCCCACTGCCCTGATGGCCGTCCCTGGGGGAGATGTCCTTGTACACTTTTTTCCCTATTATGACCACACACCATGCTGAGGCCAATTTATACTTGATCATTGTTTCCCTCCTTAAGATGATTAGTAGCAGCAATTTTCAGAATAAATGGTATCCAGCTCTGCATACATTCTCAGTACGTTTGTCACCAAAGACTGTTTTCGAAATCTTTTTATTTTAATACACGTGAAGTTCATTCAGTCATTAGTCTATATAGTCATGAATATATGGAATATAACTGACTATGCCATATTTGTTTATCAGGCCTTCCTGGTGGATATTTAGGTTGTTTTCCAATGATTTGCTCTCATAATATTGCAACTAATACGTTTGTACGCTATGTCCACTTGTGTGAGAGTTTCTGTAGGATATATGCCAGAAAGTAGAATTCAGGATCCTCGATCCTGCCCAGATGGCTCTGTAACATGCGCCTGCAAGCCCATATATCAAATCTGGTCTGCAGGCTTTATTTATACAGCTTGTGAGCAAAGAATGGTTTACGCATTTTTAAATTCATATATTAAGTACGCACAGAATATCATCAGTGTTGTCTCTTGGCCCTCTAAGTCTAAAATATTTACTGTCTGGGGCTTATATTTGCTGACCCCTGTTCTATGTGCAAGCTGTACTAATTCACCTTCTCAAGTGTTGAGAATCCCTGTGTTCTTATGTTCTCACTTCTAGTTGATATTGTTAGACTTAAGATTTTGACAGTCTCATGAGTTGGATGGTAATATCACTTGGCCTTAAACTTGCATTTTTGTCTTTCAGTAATTGTTAATAAGGGAGCACTTCTTCATGAGCTTACTGGCCATCTTTGTGATTCACCCAATTGTATTGTATGCTTTACGTATTTTCCTAAAGGCTAGTTTGTCTTTTTAAAATGCATTGGTTGGAGTGGTACATAGCCTCTGGATAGTAATCCCATAGGTGTTGCAAATCTCCTCTCTTAGGCAGCCTTTTGCTATTTCAGTGTACCTGTGAGGGCTTTTGACATTATGTTTTGATGTAGTCAAGATGATCATTTTTTCACTTATTTGGTCAATATTTGTTCTGGACTCATGCTTAAGAAATTCTTTCCTACCCTGAGATAGTAAAAATATTCTCCTCTGTCTTCTTCTAATTGTTTTGAATTTCTGCCTTCCACCGTTAGGTCTTTAAGTAATCATAACATACTCTTTGTATATAGTGTGAGCCAGATAAAATACACTATGGCAATAAAATTCACATTGGTTTTTCCCAACCAGATTTTTGGGAAGTTTTTTACATTTAGTTAGGTTGCCTGACTGTGATATCTAAAGCCAAAAGGTCAACTACTCAGTTTGCTACATTTATAAGTGATTTTTTTAGATTAGAACTAATTAATTCAGTGAAAGAAAATACTCCATATAACTAAATTAAACCTGATAGTTCATTTCCAGACAAAAGTCTTGAGACTGAAGTCACTTCCCCAGTTCACTGGAGATTTTGCCTGGAGCATGATCAGCAGTCGCCTTGTTTTTCTTGACATCCTCCAACCCACAGTCACTACTGTGGGCTCCATCAAGTTAGCTCAATCTGATTCAACCCCGTTTTCCTGAATCTCAGCTCCTGTGTCTAAGTACTAACCTACATCCTGGCCAGATTAGACAAGAGCTTAATCCCTGCCCTTTCTGAGCCTACAACCGGTGCAGAAGTAGGGCTGGTAAACACAAACCAACCAACCAACCAACCAAGAAAGCCTGCCATTCAAGACCTAATGACACAAGTGATAAAAGGCTGTGGATTGCCGTGGGATCAGTGCCCACATAGTAAACTTCTGATTTGCACTCATCCAGCCCTACCTGATCTGACCTGTTAAAATATTGACAGCAAAACAGCTGGAGATGGTTTGTGGATTGACATAGAAGTATGTGGATGGAGGCCCTAGGCCTCTGTGACATATGCATCACATTCCCTTAAAAACTGAACACTTAGAAGTTAAAATCTCGATTCCATTCTCAAATGGTAAGG